CCAGTTCAGGCAAATGCAATATAAATAAGCTAGAGAGGGAAATGCAGACACCATAGAATAGGATGCAGAACAAACATTTCAAAAGCCTGGCAGAATCTACTGAGCCCCAACATAAGGAGACCATGGTTTTTATGAAAGCAAGTATCCTGTTGTAATACATAAAGTGGGAAACAAGGGCCTAGCAAAGTACTGTGGTATATACAAGGGGCTTTCAAAAGCTCATGGATAGGACATAGCCACAGAGGGCTAGAGCTGAGACTGAAGCATCCAGTTGATATGAAGTGAGGGGAAATGCACAAGAACGCCCAAAGTTGCAGATAGTGCCCATTGACTTAGCCTTGATGGCTTGATAATCAGAACTCGACTAGAAGATTAAAAAAAAAAAATTTTTTTTTGATAACAGAAACGAGGATAAATTGCTACAATTTGATGAACTTGACCTATATTCATGGAGATATTGTTGTTGTTGTTATGTACTGAGAAGTCGGTTCTACTCATAGCGACCCTGCATAGGGTTTCCAAGGCTATAAATCTTTACGGGAGCAGAAAGCCTCATCTTTCTCCTACGGAACAGCTGGTAGTTTCAAACTGCTGAACGTGAGATTGGCAGCCTGATTTGTAACCACAGAGAGGGAAGGAGTCTTCACATTAAATATCAATGCCATCCCCTCTGTACACAGGGTAGATAGGGATGGACAACTTAGACATTGGCTACCTAAAATGAGGGGGTGATAAAGGCATAAAGTGACTGGCTTACAAGGTTTCAAGAGGGAGTTTCATCGTGTGTGAGGGAAGAAAGAGATCCCACTGAATAGTTTTCATCTTATCTAGACAGGTCTTGTGCAAAGAGATGGGGATATGATTCAATATTGAGTATTTGTTATCATGACTAATTGCGACTGTCACAATTGTAACAAAAACAGGGGAGTAGTTAATCTTACAGTCCAGAAACAAAAGACCCTAGGACCATCAAGGGAGAAGAGTACAAGCAGGATGTGGGACCTTATCCAAAGAAGCAGCGGCTCCAGAAATGGAGGCAGAGATGGGGATATGGAGAGGGGGAGCAGTTGAGGATTCTAGATTCATGGGAAGTGAGGAACTAAGAGATGGTGGCCAGGAGGCGGCAGATTTGCAGAATACTCTCTTTGGTAGTGTAATTTATTATGTATCCCTGAGTAAAAAAAAAGGAGCTAAAGTGAATAGAGAGAAATACTGTTAACTGATGGTACATGGAGGAGATTATAATCATTGTAATGAAACAAGGTATATGATTTGTTAAATGTAAAACTGATAATCTTCCCTGTAAACTTTCACTCAATCCATAATAAAAACCTTTAAAAAAAAAAAAAAAAAAAAATGGAAAAAATTCCATTATCTTTCATTCCATTTTTCCAGAAACTTTTTGAAGCCCCCTCTTATAGGGTGAGTGCCAGAAAACAGTTTCTAACACATGACATGCCTTAGATAGAGAAGCACAAAAGTCATCCAGAGGACAATAAATATATCAGACAAATTTAGACGTAACAGTAATTTAGGCAAAAATAGTGCCTGAAAATTAGAATATTTAGCCCTGAAAAATAAAGTCAAAGAGGAATACATACTCCCTTTCTTCACTGGGAAAAAAAAGAGAAAAATCTCACATGTAAAATGGGCAATTTTAGTACCTGCAGGCACTGTCTAACTGAATTCATTTAATGGTTGTGCTCACTCCATCCCTCATTCATTCATAAATGATTTGTGAAGCACCTTCTATAAACTGGAAATTCCTGGGAGACTAAGATGTAGCTTCTACCTCAGAGAAACTCAGTCTACTGGGAAGATGGACAACTGCACACAGAATTGCAGTTTGGTGTGAGTACGATTAAAGTACCAAAGTGGTCAAATGCAGTTCAGGGACTGGCACTGAATTAAATGTTTAAGGGACAGTTGGCAGGTAGGATTTCAGTATTTTATCCCAGAACGTGAAGCTGTCAAAGTTGTAAAGGATGGTGCTCTGTGATCAGATGAGAGATTCAATGGCACTATTCAGGGGTGGTTTTGGTCTTTAGCAAGTGGACAGTGTAGAAGATAGATCAGCCTGAATTATGCTTCTGTGTTTCATACCAAATAATTTCTCTGAGAAACGCTGGTAGGGACTGTACATAGTCGTATAAGGTGTTCACCGTCTCTGGCGCTCGGCTGACCTGCCCTTAGTGCGCATGCATACAGCAAGACCCATGTTTGTGATAGTGAATTGTTAAGTGCCATTGGGTCAGTTCTGACTCATAGCCATCCTGTATAGAGTTTCCAAGGAGCAGCTTGGTGAGTCAGAACCTCCAACTTTGTGGTTCAAACCGACCTTGAGGTCCAGTGCTCTATCCCACAGTGCCACATGGACCTAAATACCAATGAAGAGTAGAGAGTGAGGAGAAGGTAAGAAAAGACCGGAAACCATAGAAAACTTATATGGAGTTATGGCCCCATATGTGTGTGGGTATGTATAAAAATGTCTGTATGTAAATGAGCTGAGACATGTCTATGGAAGGACAGCACATGACCAAACATGTGCCTCTAGGGTAAGCTAAGGAAGGCCGCCAGTGTGAGTCCAGAGAGAAAGAAAAGAAGGAATGGGAAGGGACAAGTGACAAGTAAAGTTCCCAATTGTTATTCTGCGCTTTTCTTTCTAGTTCAAATTTTTACAATATCCATGACTTCCTTTTATAGGTTAGAACTGAACTGAGATGATGCCTATGACACATTGAATACAGAGTTTGCATGTGACTGACAGGACATATTAATTGACTTTTAGAATGGCAAGGAAATAAGCTTTGTTTAAAATGAATTAAATTTGTCCATGAGATCATATTGATAGTCATAAATGTTTCTCTCTCTGCTAAAATCAAATGAAATAAATTATCTGAAATTATGGACAGTCAATTCTAGCTTAAATTTGTGTTATGTTTATCTAATTATTTAGGAAAATAAGAGTGACTAAATGAATGAAAAAAATTATCTACTTACAGAGTATAATCATTAGGATTGAATTATTTAAACCTAAATTTGAAACAGGAAGGCCTCCAAGTCTAGATAACATCAGTCTTTGCTTAAGCACTAGAAATTTCCAGCCAACTGTAATGCTTTTAACTCTAAAGTACTAAACTTAAAAAAAAAAAAAAGCTAATGTTCAGAGAAGATTATTTTGTTGTCTATTTACAATTGAAGACCAAGGTCAAATCTTTTCTTTTTGGAAATTTCATCACGCAGTTACCAAAGTATATTCATCAAATTGAAATTAAATTTGATAATGTAGAATTTTTACAATAAAGAACTTCATATACTCTGTAAGTAGATTTTTTTTTTCCATTCATTTAGTCACTTGTTGTTAGTAAGTTACAGTGAAAATCAAATTACATTTTGAAATGCATTGAGGACCTCTATTAAAATATGTTACAATAAGAAAAGACATTTACAACTTGAATTAACATTTAAAAGTTTTTAATATTGAGTCTTCCAACTAATGGATTTTCCTAAAGCAGGACCTTGTGCTAAGGAATTAAAACAACAGATTTTAGGTTGAGTTCAAGACTTTCTGAACTTCAAAAGTTAGTATGTTTACTAATTGTGTTACTAAGTATCTAAATAAGGACTGTTTATATTTTATTGAGTTGACATATGGCAAAAATATTTTCCCATGGAAAATAGCATGATATGATTACACAAAAATTCTTGCTTTTCATATGTGAATGTTTCTAAAATACATTGAATGTGCAAGTATTTCTCTATCCCCAATCTAACCCCAACCTCTTAAATATATATTTAACTATATTGACTATCTTAGAATTGGCATGTGGACTTTTCAAAGTTATGTGGAAATTTTGAGATATGATTCCAAGTGGTCAACTTCTAGAAGCACCCTAGCAGAAAACGTTAGTGAAGTCAAATTACCTTCCTTACACCATGATTAGAATCTTGGTGTTAATGCGCTAGACTGCACGGTTGGTGGTTAAAGTTCACCAGCCGCTCCTTGGAAACCCTATGCAGGAATACTATGGGTCAGAACCGACTGGATGGCACTTAACAACAACAACACCATGATTACTGTTCACATGATTCTCTGGTCTATTAGCCTAAGGGCTCACTGGAGACTGTTCCTTAATTCCCCACAGTTTGGGGAGTTTCATGGGCTTTTGTTTGTTAAAACTTCTCATTTCTAGATAAGGAGTTCTGGTAGCACGGTAGTGAAACACTCATCTGGTGAGTAAACGGTCAGTAGTTCAAACCCATCAGTTGCTCCACAGAAGAAAGATGTGACTATCTGCCTCTGTAAAGATTATAGCCTTGAAAACCCTACTGGGCCTTTATATTCTGCCCTGTAAGGTTTACTATGAGTCAGAAGCAACTCAGAGGCAATTTTTTCTTTCTTTTTTTTTTTTTTAGGTCACTGTAGTTTCACATGCAGCTGTAGGAAATCACAAAGAGAGATCCTATATACCCTTTAACTAGTTTGATAGCATCTTATAAAATTATAGTATAATACAATTACCATCAGGATATTGTCTTTGATATAATTTCACTGACCTTTTCAGATTTTTCCAATTTTACTTGTGTGTACTATTTGTGTGTGTATGTGCATGTGTGTATTCAGTTTTATGTAATGTTACCGTATGGGCACAGTCAGGATACATAACATTTCCATCACCACAATATCCCTTCCTATGGTCTGTTTATAATCACAACCCTTCCCTGCTATCCCCCACTGACATTTAACATCTTTAAGATTTTATGTTGGTGTGTTTTCTAGTTACATGGTGGGAAGTAACTGATATTTCCTTTCTCTCGTGTATGTCTATGAATAAATAAGTCCAAGCGTACCTTCTGTGTCCCACCATTCTTGAGTAGTACATCTCCCTGTTGCGTGACAAAAGAACTGATAAAATGAGTGAGGACTTGCCTTGGCTGTGTGGTGTTTCAACTTTGTGAAGGTATGAGACCAAGTTTGCTGTCTCTGTTTCCATTCCCAGATTACGCTAGATTTGAGGCCAAAATCCATGACCTACGAGAGCAGATGATGAACTACAGCATGAGCTCCGGGTCTGGATCCCTGCGAACGAACCAGAAACGCTCCCTCTATGTCAGGTAAGCAGTGGTCATTTCTTACTGCATCTTCTCTGTGTCACCAGTCTAGTTTGTGGAGATAACTGGTCTTTCATCAATGGGACATGTGTTCTGCTTATCCATATGTTCCCAGTGCACCACTATCAGACTTTAATCTACTTATTTAAACTACATTTTGGAAACGTCACTATGTTGAATAAAAGGCCTTTGCTTTTAGCAAGTTGTTCTTTGACTATGTTATGATTTAAGATAATGTTTTTAGTATATAGGTTGCAGTAAAGATACTGAGAAGGAATATTTTCATTTCTGATAAATCTTAAGTATTGAATATATGGGCCAAAGACCTGGACAACTGCTCACAATCAGTGTGGGAAGAAAACATCCCTAAATCACCATCTGACCTCCTTAATACATAATTGCATTAGCCTTGGTATATGTCTTTTCTAATGATATGTGTCTTCCTTCTTATGTTTTGCTGGCTATGTGACTATTGGAAAAATGGTCTTCTGTGGCATCTTGTTAACAATTATTCCTAAAACTGCAAAGTTATTTGTCTCTTATCTGACTGAACTCAGTATTTTATCAGACAAAGAAATGATTGGGTGAGCTTAGAATGCATGGCAACCTTGGATTCTTGTAGTTAATTCTTATATAAGTGCCAACATCACTCAACTATAACACACACCTCCTCCTAGCATAAGCTCCCACTATTATTCCAAAAAGCACTTCATGAGTGCTGACTGTACTTTAAAAAAATAATATAAATATTGCCTAATTATCAAAATGAATCTGTATACCATATGGAAAAACCTGGCCCAACTTTGTGGCTTTCTACTCTCATACCCCTGCCTCAGAATCCTAGTTATGATTTTATCCTGCTCACAGGAGTCCTGGTGTGGCACTGTAGGTTAATGCGCCAGACTGCAAAGCCATTTGAACTGCAAGATCGGTGGTTCAAGCTCACCAGCCACCCCTTGGAAACCCTATACAGGGTCACTATGGGTCGGAACTGACTTGATGGCATTTAACAACAACAACACCCAAGTCTTCACTGCCTGAGATCCGTTGTAGAGACACTAAATGATACACTTGAATTGACCTATCCTACTGGTCTCACATTGTTGTAACCACTCTTTCAATTCTTCTCTTTGAGGGTCTTTCTCTTTCTTTTCTGAACTGCTACTTTGCCAAACATGATGTCCTTCTGTAGGAATCAGTCCCTCCTAACATGTCCAAAGCACAAGAGAAATAGTCTTGTCATCCTCACTTCTATGGAGTATTCTGTCTGTGTTTGCCCAATGCAGATTTCTTCATTCTTCTGGCAGTCAGTCTATGCTATTTTCATCATTCTTTGTCAACACCATAATTCAAAGGCATCAATTCTTCTTCAGTCTCCCTTGTTCGTGCTCCAGCTTTTGTGTGTACGTGAAGTGACTGAAAATACTATGGCTTGGGTCAGACATACCCAAGTCCTCCCACTGACATCTTTGCTCTTTAACACTTTAAAGATGTCTTGTGCTGCAGATTTGTGTAATGCAATACATCATTCGAATTCTTGTCTGCTGCTTTCATGAATATTGGGTGTGGAGCCAAGCAGAACCAACTCTTTGAACAGTTCATCTTTTCTCCATCTATCATGATATTATTTATTGGTCCATAGTGGGAATTTTTGTTTTCTTTACATTGAGGTACAAATCATACTGAAGGCTGTAGTCTTGATCTTCATGAATAAGTATTTAAAATCCTCTCACTTCCAGCAGGCAAGGTTGTATCATCTTCATATTGCAAGTTGTTGAATTTTCCTCCAATCTTAATACCACATTTTTCTTGATGTAATTCAGTTTCTCAGATTATTTGCTCAGCATACAGATTGAATAAGTATGGTGAAAGGATACAACTCTAATGCATATTTTTCCTGATTTTGGACCATTCAATATCCTTTTGTTTTGTTGGAACAACTGCTGCTTGGTCTGTTTACAGACTCCACATGAGCACAATGAAGTGTTCTTGAATTTGCATTCTTAACAATGTTATCTGTAATTTGTTATGATGCAAACAGTCAAATTCCTTTGCATACTCAATAAAGCACAAATAAATACTCTTTTGATACTCTCTCCTTGGAGTCCTGGTGTGGTGCTGTGTGTTAATGCGCTGGACTGCAAAGTCAGTTTGAACTGTAAGCTCAGCGGTTCGAGCTCACCAGTCACTCCTTGGAAACTCTATACAGGGTCGCTATGGGTCGGAACCAACTTGATGGCACTTAATAGCAACAACAACTTTCAGCCAATATCCATCAGACTACAGCAATGATTCCTTCATTCCATGTTCTCTTCTAAACCCGGCTTGAATTTCTGACAGCTCCCTGTTAATGTACATGCTGAACCATTTTTGAATTATCTTCACAAAATTTTAGTTGGAAGTGATATTAATGATATTGTTCAATAATTTCAGCATTCTGTTGGATCACCTTTCTTAGGAATGGGTGCAAATATGTATCTCTTCCAGTTGATTGACCAGGGAACTGTCTTCCAAATGTCTTAGCCTAGACAAGTGAGCACTTCCATCATTGCCTCTGTTTGTTGTAACATCTCCAGTGGTATTTTCTTCATTCCTGGGCCTCTGTTTTTCCAATGCCTTCAGTGCATCTTGGACTTCTTTCTTCAATACCGTTGTGAGTGAGTCTCAGTCAATTATTTCTGGTGCTATGCTACTGTTTTCCTTCCATCTTCTTTTTATGCTTCATCTGCTGTTCTTCATTAACCCATAGAATCTCCCAACATTTCAACTTGAAGCTTTAATTTTTCCTTCAGTTCTTTCAGCTTGAGAGTTGAAGAAGAGGTTCTTACCTTTTGTTTTTCTAACTCTAGGTCTTTGCACATTTCATTCTAATACTTTACTTTACAAAGTAAGTATTTTATTTTGCAAGTATGTTAATTTTCTTCAGCTTCAACTAGAACTTGCATATAAGCGAGTGCTGGTCTTGTCCACAGTCAATTTCTGGCCTTGTTCTGACTGATAATGTTGAGCTCCTGCATCCTCTTTTCCACAGATGTAGACAATTTGATTCCTATCAATTCCATCTGGCAAAGTCCAAGTGTATTGTTAGCATCTATGTTGTTGAAAACAGAGCTCTGATAGCATAGTGGTTACGAATCAGACTGATAACCTGAAGGTCAACAGTTTGAAACTACCAGTGGTTCCACGGGAGAAAGATGAGGCTCTCTATTCCTGTAGAAACCCTATGCAAGGTCTCTATGTGTAGGAACCGACTCCACAGTACACAACCACCACCACCACCATGTTGTTGAAAAAAGGTATTTCCAATTAATTGGTTGTTCTTAAAATTTTTTATTTCTCTCATGTAAACTCTCACTCAATTCATAATAAAAACTTTTTAAAAAATTTATTATGTGGTCTCCGGCATTATTTATATCACCAAAGTCCTATTTTTCAGCAACTGTTCCTTCTTTATTTCCACCTTTTCCATTCCAATCATTAGTAACTATGAATATAACTTGTTTGATTGCATGTTTCATCAATTTCTGACTTTCAAATTTAGTTTAAACTCTTTAATTTCTTCATCTTTAGCATTAGTGTTAGCTGTATAAATTTGGATAATAATATTAATTGTTTTTCATAGTTGTTGTTGATTGCCATTGAGTTGTTCCCAACTCATAGCGACCCTTTATTGGGTTTCTGAGAAGCAGCTGGCTGGTATGTTTGAACTGCTGATCTTGTGGTTCAAACCAACATTGTGGTTGAGTGCTTATCCTACAGTGTCACAACAAGACTTCATAGTAGGCAAATGAATATTATCCTGTCACTGACAAGATTTCAAGAGGTAGCATATGATCGAGAATCATTAATACTGAAGGAAGTAGTCCAAGATACACAGAAGGCATTGGCAAATAACAAGGCTCTGGAAATTGATGGAATACAAATGGAAATCTTTCAAAAACTCATGCATCACTGGAGGCACTCACTCATCTATGCCAAGACATTTGGAAGACAGCTACCTGGCCAACTGATTAGAAGAGATCCATATTTGTGCCCATTCCAAAAAGAGGTGACCCAACAGAATGAGACGATCATTAGACAGTATCATTATTATCACATGCAAATGAAATTTTGCTCAAGATAATTCAAGAACAGCTGCAATGGTACACTGATAGGGAACTGCCAAAGGTTCAAATAAGATTCAGACAAGAACCTGGAAAGAGGGATATCATTGCTGATGCCAGATTGATCTTAGCTGAAAAAGATGCTTACCTGTGTTTTATTGACTATGCAAAGACTTTTAACTGTGTGGATCTTGACAAAATATGAACATTGCAGAGAATGAGTATTCTGGAGCTATTAGTTGTGCTCATGATGAACCTGTACATAGACCAGGAGGCAGTTGTTCCAACAGAACAAGGAGACACTGAATGGTGTAAATCAGGAAAGGTGTGCAGGAGGGTTGTATTCTTTCACAATACTTTGACTCTGTGTATTCCTTCCATATTGTTTTGATGCTTTCGGCATCATTCAATAATTTCCCATAGAACACTTCAGTATTGCTAGTTGAGCCTTGAATTCTTCCTTTAATTCTTTCAGCTTGAGAAATTCTGAATATGTTCTTCCTTTTTTTTTTTTTTTTTGTTAAACCTCCAAGTCTTTACATATTTAATTATAATACTTGACTTTCTCTTCTCAAACTGCCCTTTGGAATGTTCTGTTCAGCTCTTTTACCTCTTCATGTCTTCCATTTGCTTTAGCATCTCTATGCTGGACAGCAAGTTTCAGAGTCTCCTCTGATATCCAGTTGGTCTTCTCCTTCTTTCTTGACTTCTTAAGGACCTTTTGCTTCCTTCCTGTGTGATGTTCTTGATGCCACCCACAGTATATTAGTTATACCTTAATCCTTTTACTTAAACAAGAGTAGGAAAATGAAGTGATATGATGATAGTTTGTGAAATTAGTAGACTTCATCTTAATGAGTAGTGTTATTCAGAATCAAACATTTAGTCTCTAAAATGATA